CCCCCCCAAAAAAAATTATGCTATAATGTATCAGCCATTCATGCTTAAAAAAAATTCTCAACTCTTAGTGCTCAATTAAGCTGCAGTTTGGCAAGCTGCTTAAGCATGTGCCTAGTATTAAGCAAGAGAGTAGTCTTGTTGAAGTCTTAAAGATCATACTTTTATGCTTCAGAGACCATACTAAGTCAGTTTTAGTGATGAAATGCAATATTATTTTTCAGTAAAAATGAAATGTTAGACATGCTTTAATGTCTTGCTGAATGGCTGTACAATGGCTTGCTTAAAGTTGACGCTGTTCATACTTTAAATACTTAACCACGAATAGTACAAAGGACTTTACCTGGATGCTTAGAAGTTAATTAAGACCTGCGTTTTCAAGCTGCATACAAATGTTGTGCTTCAGTATTAAAACTGCTGGAAACTGATTTCAAATTTTTTACTCTCTACATTACAAGCTGTGCTAGCTATTTCATAGATTCCAAGGCCAGAAGGAATCATTATGATCATCTTGTGTGACCACCTGGGTAGAACTTTCCCAAAATAATTCCGAAACAATATCTTTTAGAAAAATATCCAACCTTGATTTAGAAATTGTCAGTGATAGAGACTCTGTTGCAACCTGTGGTAAGTTGTTCCAATGGTTAATTACTCTCACTTTAATTTTTTTTTTTAATGCTGCCTTTTTAGTCTGAATTTGTCTAGTTTCAGCTTCCAGACATTGGATCATGTTATACCCTTTTTCTGCTAGATTGCAGAGCCTGTTATTAAATATTTGTTCCCTATAATATATGTATATACTTATAAGACTGTGATCGTCACCCCATAACCTTCTTTGTTAAGCTAAATAGATTGAGCTCTTTGAGTCTCTTACTGTAAGGCATGTTTCTAATCTTTTAATCACTCTAGTGGCTCTTCTCTGAACCCTCTCCAATTTATCTACATCGTTCTTGCATTGTGGACACCAGAATTGGACACAGTATTCCAGCAGCGGTTGCACCAGAGCCAAATAGAGGCCAAATAACTGCTCTACTCCTACTTGAAATTCTCCTGTTCATGCATTCCAGGATCTCCTTAGCCCTTTTTGGCCACAGAATCACCTTGGGATCTCTTGTTGAGCTGATTATCCACCATGTTCCCCAAATCCTTTTCAGTGTCATTGCTTCCCAGGATAGAGTCCTCCATCCTAGAAGTATGGCTTACATTCTTTGTTCCTAGAGGTATAATTTATATTTAGACATATTAAAACATGTTCTATTTTCTTGTGCTCAGCTTACCAAGTGATCTAGATTACTCTGAATCAGTGACCTGTCCTCTTGATTATTTACCACTCCCCCAATTTTTTTGTTTTTTCTCTTCTAGGTAATTAATACAAATGTTAAATAATATAGATCAAGAACAGGTTCCTGTGGGACCCCACTAGAAACACACCCACTCCAAGATTCCCTGTTTACAGTTACATTTTGAGACCCACCAGTAAGCCAGTTTTTAATCCATTTAAAGTGTCATATTAATTTTACCTTTTTAGTTTTTAATCAGACTGTCATTTGGAACTAAGTCAAATGCCTTCCAGAAGTCTATTACATCAACACTATTACCTTTACAAACCAAATTTATAATCTCATTGAAAGAGATGAAGTTCGTTTGACAGCATCTGTCTTCCATAAACTGATATTGATTGGCATAAATTATATAACCCTCCCTTAATTCTTTATTAATCAAGTCTCATATTACCCCCTTCATTATCCGACTGACAGGCCTATAATTACCTATGTAATCCTGTTTCTTTTTTAAAATAGTGACATAATGTTAGCCCAGTCTTTTGAAACTCTTTGAAATCAACATTACCAGTCTAGGTCTCCTCAGCCAGCTCTTTTAAAACTCTTGGATGCAAGTTATGTGGACCTACTGACTTAAAAATGTCTAACTTTAATAGTTGCTGTTTAACGTCCTCCCGAGATATTAGTGGAATGGAAAGAGTCTCATGTGCGAGAGCACCATTTGTGTTTTAAAGGTTTGTCACTGTGGAAGTAGAGTGCTATTTGGAAGTAACAGCAATTACACGTCTAAGTAATCAATGTCAACTTTAGTGTAATCTTTGAAACATATACATTTTCCTTAACCTTACTTTTTTAGAAACTGGAACAACTGAATCAGTATCCAGATTTTAACAACTACCTGATATTTGTTCTTACGAAATTGAAATCTGAAGGTAAGCTGCTGAGTTTTTGCTGTCTTATTCTAGGCATTGTCTAATGACTTTAATTCATTTGTCTAGATTTTTTAGAAGTGGAGGATAGATTTAGATGCTGATCCTGCCACCAGCTCCACAGGCTGACCTGTACACTTGTGTGGAGCTTTACTGACTATTAGGGAGCTGGGTGGGCTCAGGGGCCTGTCTGCATATTGCCAGTTGTAGGATCAAGGCTTTAGACCAGACTGCGTTCTAGCTTTCCTTTTTTTAAAATTAGATGTGTAGTAACCTTCCTTGTTGGAAGACGGATGTTCAGAGGTCACAAATCAAATGAATTTCTAACCGGATTAGACCAAGTAGTTTGTGCATGCTATTAAAACCATTACACAATTTGGCATATTTAGTTGTTTCTGATTGAGAGAGAGTTTGCAGTGTTAGAGAAGTAGTGTTAAAGGTTTCTCTGAAGACCCCATTTACCAAAATACTTGCTCTTGGGTCTTGGCTCCTTAGTGAAAGACTGTTACAATTCCATTATTTATTAAAGATTGTTTACTCTTGTGGACAGTAAGTGTGAACCAGGTCATCTGCTGGGTATAAATACTGATCTCCAAATTTACCATTCAGTTCTTTCTTGGTAATGGTGGTGAAGAAGCTAATCATTAACTGTTTTTTGCGTTGCTCCAATATTTCATACTGTCTCAGTGCATTCTTTTTATTTTTTAGTGTCCTTTTCAGTCAGTCTTAATTGCCAGTCCAGTTGCCTAATTTGTGAGGCCTTTACTGCAAGTGTTTTGAGGGCCTGCTCCAGTAACTGCCTTGGCAGGTTTTTTTTTTTTTTTGCCTACTGTGGCATGTTTCAGCTCTCTAATACCATGTTGGCATGTTCTTGCCTTTATTTTTGTGGGAGCTTCAGCAGTTCTTCCTTGGAGCTCTTCCCCTGAAGTTTTTTCTGGCTCTTCTCAGTATACTGGCACCTGACTCAGTGTGCTTCAGCAATTTGTTTTTTAAAAAAATGCACATTTCTTGGTGCATCAGGAGTGCTTTGTACTCAGCCCAGCATTTGCTTGATGCTTAGTTCAGATCAAGGTTATACAAAAAAAGTAACAGTTGTCTTGGCTTGTGCTTTTTTGTATTTTGGTGGTGGTGGAGGTATGCCTTCAAGAATGAAGGAAGGCATCTACTGTGATGTGTGGGGCTGTCCGCTATGTCTCCATATGTCACTCTGAGCACTAGCAATATAGGGAGTGGCTCCAATTCCTCCTTCGGACACTACAAAGAAACTTCTTGAAGTCCAGCCCAAGCTTGTCCACAGTGCTTTGAAGGATAAACTGAAAACTAAAGCCTGAGCCAGCCTAGATCACTGGAATATTGGGACGGACTGCCAGCACCATCCATGCACAGACATAGATTCCCCAGACCCTGCTCCCCAATAAGCCCAGCATGATTATTTCAAAGCTGAAATGCTTTCTGTTATGAACAGCAAAGTTGAGAGCTCTGCATCAGCTCCTTGAAATACATGCTTGACGTTTGTAGCTCTGCAAAAGACAAGTGGAAGAGGTGACAAGAGAGCCAACCACACCACAGCTTGATTCTGTTGAAGCACCTTTATATCTAAACTTCATGGTTCTCCCCCATTGCATCTTCTGACTGAAATTTAGAAGGGATTGATTCTGGGTATTGGTATATTCTTGATGATTCAGCTTAATCATTCCTGGCTGTTAGAATATTCCATCTGCTCCGGTTGTCCACCATTTTTTTCTTTCTTATTGCTTATAGGTAATTACCAGCTTTGTGGGGAAGAAGAGCAGGAAACGCTGCTAGTTGCAAAATGACCACTTCAGAGCTGCTGCCAAACATAAAGGGCCAGCCCACCAGGGTAGGGGGTGAGGAGGAATTCAACCCTGAATTGGGTGGAGCCAGGAAATTACTAAAATAGCTGTTCTCGGGAAGGAGCTGTATTGGTGTTTTATATCACATAGGCCCTGAGGCTGCCCAGAAGCCCACAGTACTTAAAGAAATTCTTCTTGCTCTGCATCAGAAGGGGTAGAATCTCTTTACAAAGTTAATGCATTCTTTGTCCTGAGGCTGAAGCTTGTGTCCTATAGTCAGCGCTCCTGGTCCAGGAAGCTCTGGCCTCAACACTGGCATCTTCAGTGTGGCCAGTGCTGGTGGTTCCTAGAGTACTTAATATGTTCTAAGTACCCCCTCCATATTGCTTGGACAATTCAGATACTATGGTGTTATCCAAGATTGAGGATTGTTACCTGGACTCAAATGAGTTGGAGTACTCTTGAATGAATAGAGTACATATTCATTGCAGAGGAACATCAGCTCCCCCACATTCAATAGCTACCATGCCCTTGCACCCTATTTTGGAGCCGCTGGTGAAGGTGTGGCAGATTCATCAAGCTGCTGTGTCTCCTAAAGACAGTTAAAAAAATCATCTCCTCCCCCAGGAAGCTGGTAGCAATTAAAGAGCTTGCTTAGAGGAAAGAGTGGCCATACTCTGCACCTCAGAATCCTGATCTGTAGTACTGAGACTTATTTTAATGAACAGTTTGCCAGTCCATTTTGCAACCCTTCTTAACAGGGGTGGCCATGCCTTCATAACCAAAGGGCAGCAGAAGCTATGCAAAAAAATTCACACCTTCAGTAACATTATTCCTCAAGAAAAATGCTAGGAGTTTAAAAGCTAGTCCATGAGAATATGGATTTAGCCCAGTATCAGGCATGAGTAGCAATGATCATAAGCAACTCTCCTGTCACATCCCAGTAATGAGACTTCAGTGTCTCATTGTCTGAGGAGAACTTAGTTTGTAATGGACTTCCAAATGTCTCCTGTCCAAACTGTAGCGATCATGGTTACATCCAACTTAGGATAGGGGATCTCATACACAGGGCCTCAGTATCCAGGGAGTTTAGTCTTTCAAGGAATGTTGCATATGAATGTTCTGGAGATCAGTGTGGCTCTGTGCCTTAGGTGTCCAAGTGCTTAGTATCCCCAGAAGTGTTCCTGGTTCAGTGACTATCAGGGCTCTCGTTTGCATAAAGAACACAAAAACAAACAGGGAGGTACTGGGTCTTGCCACCTATTAGGTAAGTCTTCAGGGGCTGGAGTGTGCTCTACTCCACGAGACTTTCATAGTACATATGTACATGGCAAGAAAGGAGAACACAATTGCAGATGAGATCATCTGGAACAGATCCTTACAAGTGGCTTCAGGATTTGGAAGTGCCAGCCAGTTCCTCTTCTGAGGTGGATCTCATCATTACTTACCAAAGCAGAAAACTACTGGTGGCCTGCTCATGGCTTCCATTAAAAATTCACATTAGCAAAGGATGCCTTTTTCATACCGTAGGGAAAGAGATGTCGTACTTTTCTGCTGCTTCCTCTCCTAGCTAAGGTCCTGGCAAAGTTGAGAGAGAAAAGTGTGATGATCTATAAGCCCCATACTAGCTCAGATAAGTGTGGTTCTCTGTACTGTAGTGGCTGGGCAGAGTTGATTCTATCAGATTGAGAAAGAATGTGGCCTAGATAATATTTCAGATCTAGGGCTCTCAAGACTTTTGATTCCTGATGACGGTAAAGATCTGTAAGTATGGTGTCCTCCAGTAGATAACTTTTATGTCCTAGCATTTCAAAAAACGTCTGTGAGAAGGACCTGTAACTTCAAGAAGAAAGGTTAGTAGTCAAGGTAGTTCTTTTCAATTGGGGTACTCTCCTCACCCACCTCAAACTGCTTTACTACCTTCTTTACATGTCTGTGCCTGCTTTGAAGACTCACTCTATTCATTTTGTAAGCTTTCTGTTGATTGTGAATTAGTTGAGGGTAGATCAGTGTCTGCAGCCCCTTGACATGCTTGTGTGCACCTTAATGCTTTCTAAAGCCCCACTTTGATATGGAATACTAATTTGGATTAAAGCTCTTTTTGAAACATTCAGTCCTGTGAACTTAACTTTATGTGGAAGATCAGGTTCCAGGTAGCAGTAGGCTAGCTTCAAACTTGTTCAGATTTTTACAAAGGTGAAGTACTGCAGACTCGCATGAGATTCACCTCCCAGGATGGTGGTGGTGGTCCACCTTGATGAATTTGTCATCCTGTCAGCATTCTTAATATGCTTATCACATTGAAGTCTGTCTCCATATGCTTAATGTTAAAAGGTTCTTTGATGATGCACTGGAGAGGTTTTATTTGGGGGCTGTAGGTGACGGCTAGTGGCATTCTGTTACTTTCTTTGTTGGGCCTGTCTTGTAGGTGACTTCTGGGTACCCTTCTGGCTCTGTCAATCTGTCACCTACAGCCCCCCAACTAAAACCTCTCCAGCGTGTCATCAAAGATCTACAACCTATCTTGAAGGATGATCTCTTACTCTCTCAGATCTTGGGAGACAGGCCAGTCCTCGCTTACAGACAGCCCCCCCAACCTGAAGCAAATACTTGCCAGCAACTACACATCACACAACAAAAAGACTAACCCAGGAACCAAACCCTGCAACAAGCCCCGGTGCCAACTCTGTCCTCATATCTATTCCAGGGACACCATCATAGGACCTAACCACATCAGCCACACCATCAGGGGCTCGTTCACCTGCACATCTACCAATGTGATATATGCCATCATGTGCCAGCAATGCCCCTCTGCCATGTACATTGGCCAAACTGGACAGTCTCTATGCAAAAGAATAAATGGACACAAATCTGACATCTGGAATTACAGCATTCAAAAACCAGTAGGAGAACACTTCAACCTCCCTGGTCACTCAATAACAGACTTAAAAGTGGCAATTCTTCAACAAAAAAACCTTCAAAAATAGACTCCAATGTGAAACTGCAGAACTGAAATTAATTTGCAAACTGGACACGATCAAATTAGGCCTGAATAAATACTGGGACTGGATGGGTCATTACAAAACCTAATTTTACCATACTAATTTCCCCCTACTGTTACTCCTTCTTGTCAACTGTTTGAAATGGGCCACCCTCATTACCACTGCAAAAGTGATTTCCCCCCGTCCC